GGTTATTTGCTTCCTCTCCTGTTTTTCTTTTGTCAGTTTGACCAGTGGTTTATTGATGTTGTTGATCTTTTCAAAGAACCAGCTTTTGGTCTTGTTAACTCTTTCAGTAGTTTTTCTATTCTGTTTCATTAAATTCTGCTATAATTTTTATTATTTGCTTTCTTCTGGTGCCCAAGGGCTTCTTTTGCTGATCTCTATCTATTTATGCAAGTTGTAGGGTTAATGTTTTGAGTTTGGCCATTTCTTCTTTTTGGATGTGTGCACTTATTGCTATAAATTGACCTCTGAGCACTGCTTTTGCCGTGTCCGAAAGGTTCTGGTAGGATGTGTTTTCATTCTCATTTGATTCTGTGAATTTCTTTATTCTGTCCTTAATTTTTTCTATAACCCAGTAGTATTTGAGCAAGGTGTTGTTCAGTTTCCATGTGTTTGTTTTTTTTTCCTTGCTTTTTCTGTTATTGATTTCCACTTTTATGACTTTATGGTCAGAAAAGATGCTTTGTAATATTTCAATGCTTTCGATTCTGTTAAGGCTTGCTTTATGGCCTAATATGTAGTCTATTCTGGAGAATGTTCCATATGCATTGGAAAACAAAGTATACTTGTCTACTGTTAGGTAGAGTGTTCTTTATATGTCTATGAGGTCAAGTTGGTTGATTGTGGCATTTAAATCTTCCGTGTCTTTATTGAGCTTCTTTCTAAATGTTCTGTCCTTCACTGAAAGTGGTGTGTTGAAGTCTCTTACTATTATTGTGGAGCTGTCTCTCTCTCTTTTCAGTGCTGTTGGAGTTTGTTTTATATATTTTGGCCTGTCATTCAGTGCGTACGTATTTCTTATGGTTATGTCCTCCTGGGGTATTGACCCTTTAATCATTATATAGTGTCCTTCCTTATCCTTTGTAGTGGATTTTACTTTAAAGTCTATTTTGTCAGAGATTAACAATTGCCACTTCTGCTCTTTTTTGATTGTTGTTTGCTTGATATATTTTTTTTCCATCCTTTGAGTTTTAGTTTGTGTCTTTAAGTCTAAGATGTGCCTCTTGTAGACAGCATATAAATGGATCGTGTTTTTTTATCCATTTTGCCACTCTCTGTCTCTTTATTGGTATGTTTAGTCCATTTTTGTTCAGCATAATTATTGATTTAAAAAAAAAAATCTAAACCCATTGCCATTGAGTTGATTCTGACTCATAGCAACCCTATAGGAAGGGGTAGAATTGCCCCCTAGGGTTTCCAAGGAGCTCCTGGTAGATTCAAACTGCCGACCTTTTGGTTAGCAACTGTAGCTCTTAACCACTATGCCATCAGGGTTGATAGGTATGCATTTACACTGTCATTTTGATGTCTTTTTTTGTGTGTTGTTGACAGTTTCTTTCTTCCACTTAATTTTCTGTGCCGAGTCTTTTTTCGTTATGTTAATATTTGAAACTCTTAAGTAGCATTTGTAGGGCTTTTATATTTGTTAAAATGGAAATAAAATTTTTTATTTTCATTACAGAAGAAATTTTGGAATCCATAAGAGCCAAAAAAGGAGATATTGACACTGATAGAAGCCCTGAAGAAATAGAAAAGGACAAGAATGAGACTGAGAATACTGACTCCAAAGACTCTGAAAAAAGCAGAGAGGAGTTTGAAGACCAGTCCCTCGAAAAAGACAATGATGACCAAACACCAGATGATGATACTGAACAAGGAAAATATGAGGGTAAAAAAATTACTTGGTTAAAAAGAAATATTTCATAAGTGTTGTTTATGAAACCTCCAGTTTTACTTGCAAAATAAAAATGACATTTTTTATTGTAAGCAACTACTTAATTTTACAGTTCTAAAGAGATTAGGACACCCCCCGGCCCCCCCCCCCCCACAGACTCCTTGCAACATGTATAATAATGGTAATGAATTTTATATATTGGTGGGTTTGCTCTAATGATATACCATGTCTCTATTTATTCTTTCTAGTAAGTTGCCATTCCTCATTGAGGTTTGCTGCTGAAAAATTACTCTTTTTATACCACAGTATATACTTTTTAGTATGTGGTGAAATATATTCATTTTTTTATATTAATTCTTAAGCAACCTTAATATATTAAATATTCTTAATTACTATCTGGATTACCTACTGCAAAAATAATCCAAGAATCTGATTGCTTCAAAATGGCCATAAAGTAAAAGCAGATGTTCTGGTGAGCCGTCATTATTAGTAGTTGATCAAATGTGGCCCTTCAGCCTAAAGCAGTTTTAAAGAATATCTTTGAAGTTTTGTTGTGCATTTTACTGTAGAGCCAACAGAAGTTGGGGATAAAGGTAACTCTGTGTCAACAAATCTTGGCGACAACACAACAAATGCTGCTTCAGAAGAGTCTAGTCCCTCTGAAAGGAGGAGCCCCGTGGGGTATCTCTCAGAAACTCATGATAGCAGCAACATGGCAGAGAAGAAGGTGGCATCTGAGCTCCCCCAGGATGTGCCAGGTACAGAGGGCAGTGTATCAATGCCTCTGTAATGGGGGGAATCCTTCCCTTTGGTAGTGAAAGCTGAATGTCACCTAAAACTTTAAAGTATGTGTTCATTCATGCTGCTTGCTTTCAGTGCCATCCCTGATTGCTAAATTGTCACCTAACATCTGGAGTTTGATAAATGTTCTTGCAGTTAGTGCTTGAAACTCATCGTAATCTTCATGCTTTCTAAGGTTCATCTTAGCTGTTTTTTGTTTAAGACTTATTTGTGTATTTTATCATCAGACCATAGTGGCAGACATTTTGGTTTTAAGTACTTACATGCTAATTAATGGCTCCGTTTTTAATGATTTAACCCTTCAAGTTTTTGTATATACTAACGAATTAATTTTATGTTTGCATGTGCTCATGTAGTTCTTTACAACATTTCAACTCAGAATGTTATATTAGAAAACCATTGTCACAAAACATTTTTGCAAGGTATACTTTGACATAGAAATGCAAGCTAAACCAGTAATTCTTATTTTAATTTTTTTTATTATTAAAATCATACTCAAGTTATGAAAAACAAATTAGAAAATTCAGATGAGTAAAATAAGAAAATAAACAATAGTAGTAGTCCCTCCAAAAATGCAGACTCATAATATCTTGATGGCAATTTTTGAAGAATTTTTTCTGTGTCTATAAGAATATCACTTATTTTCAACATTTCAGTACTTTCGTTTGCTACCTTTTGTACCAAGGATGTGATTGTGATCTGTTGGGAAGAAGACAGCACTTGTAGTTGGAAGACTTTCGTTCTTGGTCCACTTCTGCCATTAAGTTAATGTCATTTACTCTCTGAAGGCCTTAATGTACCCATTTTGTAACGTGGGGGGTTTTGACAACCAACAGTTGTTCTTGTGGTGACTACTTTAAATCATCAGTAGTGAGCTCTGTTGCTGAAAACACCATTATAACATTAGGCTATGTGTAGGATCCAGAAGAATGACAGCAATAAGTTCACTGTATTTTATACGGTGAGAAACTGGTCATTAACATAAAGAAAAGTCTGGAAGTTGTGACATCTGGTGAAATGAAAGTTTTTTAGCCTAGAAAAGAATAGGCTATTATTGAGGGGTTAGAATTGGAAATAATGTTATTATCCTCAAATACTTGGAGGGTTGACATATAGAGGGGATTAGACTTGTTCTTTGAAATGTAGGGTATTATTAAGTCAAATAGGTAGAAATAATGGTAAGAATATTTTGACTGAATTTAAACAGCTTTCTTATAATTAGAGCTGTTTAGAAAATAGAAGTAGTAAATTCCCATTCAGGAGATGCATTCAGTAAATACCTATTAGAGATGATAGCAGTGAGAGTCTTTTGTTGAACGGATTGGAGAAACTCAGAGATCTATCATTTGATTCTATAATTAGGTCTTCAGGACCTGTCTAGTTTTTTAAAATTGCATTATTCTGACTTTCACATATTCACAGCTAAAAGTTTGAAGGTGGAGTATTGCCCCAAAATAATATGAAAAAATTCTGTTTTTATTGGAATCACGATTACATTCTTGGTAAATACTTAATAAAAAATTATTTGTCCTTTTAGATTGATCAGTACTTAAT